GTAATTCGCCAGGTTCCGTATCGCCTTTCTTCAACAATAGCACCGTCGACGACTGTTTGTTGGCACCGCACTTTCGACCAGGTAGCGAGTATATCGTTTGGCAAGGGCTTGATAGAGAGGTGATCCACACGCCTGGAGTAGTTCTACTGTGATACCGTCCTTTCCGGGTGCTTTCCCTCGCGGCATCGTCTGGACTGCATGGCGTACTTCCGATGTGAGGAAAGGCAAAACTGAACTTCGATCTTGTGACGATTTCTCACGCGCTTTGATGGGGAGGTCGGACTTGAAAATCGGATTTCAAGTCTGATTTCAGCATAACTTAAGAAAAATCCACTGTCACATCACATCAATGTCGATCAGGAATGAACGCAAATGTCAGCCTCATTCGCTGCTGACAAACATGTGACAGCGGGTTTTTCGACACGGTGGAACCCTATTCTCTGAAAAGAGGACGGTATTAAAAACCTTAGGCTGCTGAATAAATCATCCCACCTAAAAACTTCGACAGGCGCATCGGCACTTAGGAGATTAAGGTAGCGAGATTACAACAATGAGGAAGCTGGTAAGTACTCCCGGTGTTTCACCTCCAATCAGTGAGTCAGCAGAGGGATCTGTTTCGAAAATGTAGCCGATCTGGGCGAACGAAGTGTAACAAAACGTACTCGAAAGAGGAGGGGACAAAGATTTGGTGATAAAATATGTTCAGAGACGTTTCTCAAACAGCAATATCGACTGTAGTCGCAGCAATGTTCAGAGTAGTGAGACTGCAACGAAACAGTCTCACGATAAGAACGGTTCAGTCCCAGACATTCAGGAGATCTTGTCAAACTCGCCGTTATGGAAAGTGACCCTTATCGCTTGCCCACTTTGACTAAAGAGAGAACAAGGTTCCCTCCATGGCAGATAAACAGTTTAAGGCCAGATGTTAGCGCTGTAGTGCAGGTGTCGTGAACGTTAGCCTCCTCAGCTCATGTCTCAGACGAAATGAGATGGACTGCGTCCACACATTTGCTGTCCCCTTAGCTCATTTACTGGTGGATAGAGAACCTATCCCGAGAGTTCTGTCTTTAGCTTAAAAATTCCTTGCAAATGAAAGCCACAGTTCATCGGCGCTTTTAGAGAGCTGTCAATGTCAATCACCTCAGACACTTGACATGTGTCAGGCTGCACTGATACATGCACAAAAGTGCGAAAAATTGATGGATCTCTCCACAGAACTTGAGTAGCCCAGCGTAACCAAGTTCTGGAGCCATCTGTTGCGTCATCAGGAGGAGTTGTGTTCAGATGATGGTTAGCTGTGAATACTAAAAATGAACAGCTGAGAGCAATCGAGCTGAGGAGTCCGTCAGGGTACTGACCGTGTTGTTGCTGGCACCAATTTTTACAAAAAAGTCACAGTGCACAATGACGGCCACGATCCAGAGCAAAAATCGCGGCCAGGTCTGGCTGCGATTTTGGCTAAGAGCAAGGTATTCAGTGGCCTAATATCGAAGGTTGCTAGAGAAGCTGCAGCAAAGTCCATGGAGGTCGTCCTTGTAGAGGACAGCCTAGAAAGCAATAAAAGGCGATGAGATAAGCCTTAGGGTACTTCATAGGACCTAATGTCGTATAGCGTGCTTCTGTTCCTTGTGAGGTACTGTGCGGTGTTCGCTACAAATTGATGAAAAATAATCCAGTTTGGAAACACTGAGAACTTGTTTGTTTTGAAATCAACATGATCCACTATTGAAATGATGCGTCAGTACATAACAATATACCTCACTTTTTATGTAGCACTTAATTATTTAACTACGGATCCCTCTGCTAATACTTGATGACGATGGCGCGTGTCTTTGCGGCAGTTCCATAGTTCCACGGAAGTCTAGAAGTAATCTGACTCGACGAGAGGTTTGGGCAGCTGTGAGGCAAACACGCAAGAAGCTTCAAAGTGGTAATTCTCCGTGCGCGTTCAGCAGTCATGATGAGAACTCAGTCAGCAGCATGAATTGATGAAATCGTCTTCGATTCAATCTTTACTTGATAATTTTATGCGCGATTGCTAGGCAGTGCTTTTTTTAGTGATTTTTGAGGCCGCTTCATATCCGTCGGATGGTCCAGGGGTCAAATATCGGTTTTCACCAAAGCTAACAGAGAGACCTCCTCAGGTCAGAGTTGTTAGTATACGATCACTTTGGGTGCTAACGCATTTGTGGGTGACGCTCGTCTGTGCGCGAGCGGTGTTCTCAACTGCTTCTTCTGCTTCTCCTCGGCAAAGGTTGTGTTAGAGTCCATAGATCGCTTTGAGCATGATTTGAAGCGCTGAAAACTAGCAGCTAAAATTAGAATAAACCATGAACAAATCGCGCTGGGACTTAGTGTGGACTCTGTTTGAAACATTGATTGTGATGGTTTCCGTCACATTGAAAGCGGGAAACAATGGATTTCGCGTAGGAATATTAAGTGGATTGGTGAGGTAAATGTCTTCGGATTTTGGATGTGAGACCGCTCAGGGTCAATTAATGACGATTGGATAAGACGCTATAGAGTAGATCCTTCTTTAAATTCCGAAAAGCATCCACTATATTTGATAATGTCACTTTTAACAAACGAGTGGGCTCACCTAGGCCGGAATTCCTCCTCTTGTAGGTTGAGGCAAAAATCTTCTACCCTACAATTGTTTCTTCGGCGAGTTTTCGAGGGCGTTTTTACTGTTTTACCTTCTGAATATAGAACCTTTGCGCAATGTTATGTCCATGTCCTAAAGATGATACATATTGCTTCTATTTAGCCAAGAAGGGAGCATAGGAGAAAATGAGTCGATTGCCTGACGCACGCGAGCCGCGTCCGGGTCTCGCCCCCCCCCTCCCGGCCCCCCAAATAAATACGTACGTTAACACCTCACTTTGGATCACAATACATCGACTTAACATGCTGGATGCCGCAGTCAGAGCTACAGAACAGATGTCAAATGCCGTTACGATGCTGTTCTGGTACTTGTTATAAGAGATAATCGATGACCTGTTTCTTCTATCTAGATTTTCGGATAACCCTGTTGGAAGTGAGCCATTCTTACGGTAAACAAAAAACATTAACTATGTTCCGTAGGTTTTCTTCCTTCTGATTGGAACTGTCATAGTGCTCAGCGCTTCTGTTAGTTTCAGTCTAATGAACAAAGCAGACTGAAACTGACACATTCAATTCGTAATGGTTAGACTGCTGTCATTAACGATTAGCTCGAGATGTGCTCGCTTAATGGAGTAAGCATCGATCATGTCTTCAGTCCTCTCCATTATAGGTTTGGGGAAAGGTTTCGGCTTGAGTGAACATGCTTGTCCGAATCCCTTTATTTATAAAGGCAGTTAGCAGGATAAAATTGGCTAAATACAGATGTAGGATTTATACGACTGCTTAACAGAATTTTCCGTGACGGTACCCGGACAGTTCGCCTCCGTGGCGCCTTTTTCCAAGGGTAGGGTACCGCTATAAACGCCCTGTCCGAGGCAACAACATTCCTTCCCAAACGCCTTCCTCGCCCGCGCGCCCACAAACGGACGACCGTTTCTGACGCTCGTATTTATTTGCTAAGCAAATTATGAAGCGAAGGGATTGGTATGAAGCGGCCGTGATGCTGCATGGATATATGGACACATATATGCAGCCGTCTTTCAATAGCGGTGATTGGCAAGATGCGTACGGGAAACTCGTCCGAAATCTTCGAGTCACTGAGAAGGCTTTTTCTTTACCGGATTTTACCGTTCCACTCCGTTCTTTCGCCCATTTCCCCACTAAATAGCGCCCTACTAGCATTTGAGGCCGAGTTTGAAACCATCGTGCCAACTGCCTTTAATGCTTCCGTCCCGTGGACGCTGCATATGAGACCGATTCTGCGCGCAAAATTTACCTTTTTCGGGATACATGCAATATTGAGGTGGTATGAAGTGTGAAAGGAGTTTATTGGCTAATCAGATCTCATTTGCAATTGATTGCTGCAAGAGAAGGCCAATTTGGGGCAGTGAAGGCAACAATTTCAGCTTCTGATTCTAGACTTACGTTAAGGGATAATTTCGACTGGGGATACTCGAGAGCATCACTAGTAGATGGAGGTTTCACCTTTCAGTACTGAGTTATGTACCGCTCCCCTCCACCTGTGATCCTAACAATGACGCGGCAGACGTTTCCCCGCTCTTTAACCATCTCCGAATGAGCCTACAAAGGCCCCTTTATTCACTTCATGGTGGTGTTTGATGTTGGGTTTTTCAAGATGTATTTGAAAGTAGTTGCTTTCAGGAATTACGGTACCGCTTACACAGCTGCCGCTGCTGCCGCAGCAGTATATGGAAATCTAGGTGTCGCTGGCCAGGTTGCTCACCGCATCTCAAGCCCAGCCTCAGACAGCAAGCAGCGTGTTCGGGTTAGTTTTAGCACTTTAGTCTGTGTTCTGTGTATTTCCATTGTTCGTTTCCGGCATACGAGCAGACGTCTTATATCTCAGGACACTGTATCATCAGCACTGAAATATTTAGGTCGACAACAACGAATCCTTATGCTACTTATAACACTTCTGTAGCTGCATCGTATGGGTACGGAACTCAATCGACGAATGCGGCCTCCATGTATGCGGCGCAAGCTGCTCAAGCTGCTCAGGTTCGATGAGAGATTCTTGGACATATATCAATTATTGGAATGTAATTTGTTTCCTCAGGCAGTGCAGGCTCAAGCTCAGGCCCAAGCGGCCCAAGTCCAGGCTCAGGTGCAAGCTACACAAGTGAGCCGCTTGTCTGCTGATGCTGCTTACGCTGCTGCTGCTCAGGCTGCCCCAACTCAGTACTCAACGTTTGGAACCACTGGACAAATTGCAGGTAGAAATTGATATGATGAAGACATACATTATCCGAAG